TGTATATATTTCTTATACAAGTCTATGCATCTATGCATCCTATGCATCCTATGCAGCCGTATATAAACTTGTATATATTTCTTATACAAGTCTATGCATCCTATGCAGCCGTATATAAACTTGTATGTATTTTCTTATACAAGTCTATGCATCTATGCATCCTATGCATCCTATGCAGCCGTATATAAACGTGTATATATTTCTTATACAAGTCTTTGCATCTATGCATCCTATGCATCCTATGTTATAAATAAATACATAATGTTTCATGGTATATATGAATATATGGCGTTAACGATATATAAAATGTAAATAAACTATGCATCTATGCATCCTATGCATTTAAAAAAGGGTATTATTATTCTTATGGTCTCATATTAGACCTCTAATGTGTACAAATACTACGTTGTTATCTATTGTACATAACAATCTATTTGGTCCTTACTAAATTCAACTTGATATTTTTATTTTACGAACGTATATGTTTAATGTAGGTTGCAAAATTATGTTTAAACATTATACATAATTAATAACCTTGCCAAAATACACATTTTAACTAGGAAATATTTTTTTCAGTTTTTTCAGTACATGATATGAAGTTATAAAATACAAAAAAATAATAATCGTTAATGATAAAAAGATAATATTTAAGATTGATGGAATTTTCCAAAAACCCACCAGCATGTGTACAAAGAACTATCCGTACCCATTCTATAACGGATCAAAATGCTGCAAGGTAAGACTCATTTTTAATCCTCAAATGTGAACGTAATTCTAATTGGTTTTCCAGTCTAGGGCTGAGGACGTTCTTATTTTTCCAGCCCTTCATCAAAATCAAAAGACGTAAAAAAACACCAAAATACAGAAAATTTTAAGATTAAAAAAAGCTATTTCCGTTAGTTAGCAATTTAAAAATTAACGGTTTCGCTGTTCGTTAAAGGACCCTTCCGTTGATTTTTAAAAATCTCCGTTTCGTTAACGAAACTTTGCCTAGCCCTACTCTCCACATGCTCAATTTGCGACAGTACCCCTTAACCTTTGCCTCAGCAAATATGATGGTGATATCCTTATTTTCTTATCTAAACTATAATATTTTTTCCTTACCGTGTCTTTACAAAAGTGGTTTGATGATGCTGTTGCAGCTAGAGACAAGGAATGTTAAAAAAACGACAAGGGGTTTCTTCCTCTAGGGGTGTATATTTTTAAGAATTACCGCCTAGGGGGGGGGGGGGATGGGGATGATTTTTGAAGATCTACGGGGGAAAATGAAATATTGTAAATGAAAAGGTAGGGTTTTCGACCTTTTTTATACTTTATGCCAAAAAAAAAAATCAGTTTCCCCCAAAAATGATTTATTTACTTAATTCGGAGAATAAGACCCAATAAGCAGTCATATTTGTTAAAAATGTTGCGGATATTATTCTGATTTGTTAGATGGATTTTTCAAAAATGTTGAAATCGACGTTTCTAAGCAAAGTTTTGTTTTGAATTCTTGTAATCCATAACCTTTTCCTGGTTCATGTAGGTAGATACACCAAAAAAAAGGCCCGGTCGGTTCAGCCATTTTAACTTTTATTGGATTCAAACACTCAAATTGACAGACAGAATTAAAAAATTGGTTATTCTTCGTTCTAAAGCTTTGCATTTTTCGGTTTTGAATATATTTATATAATTAAAAATATGTGAAAATTCAATTAAATTAAGTTAAAAATGAGTGTAGGAAGAAAACAGCATCATCGGAGTGCTACCGGAGACCCCGTCCTACCGGAGACCCCAACCCATACCATACCGGAGACCCCGACATTTTCAACGGAGACCCCAAAGTTTTCATCAGAGACCCCAAAAAAAATAGTTAAAATATACTTTTAACCCCCCCCCCCCTCCATCACGTTTCTGTATCATGTCTCCTTAAACTTTACACCCCCCCACCGTATATAAATATAAATATATTTAAATTAAAATAGTAAAGTTGAATAGTGAAATAAAATGTCAAGGTTTAATGGAAAATGTTTAATAATTAAAAATAAAATCAATTTTTTGATTCGTGAATTTTTGTGCAAAGGTAATTTTTTATTAATAAATGTCGGAAATTTGTGCATTTTGGGATATATTTAATCCTTGCTCAAATATCAAAATTAAATATTAAATCAGTTTTGGTAGTAACTAAGTAAGATACAAAGTTCTGTACTGAATACACCAGCTTGATAATTGATAAATGTCGTCCAAAAATAAACCGTTTTTGGACCTTAACTCGACCAATTCTGAAAATATCTAAAAATCTTAAAATTTGTATCATAGTCATTGGCCTAAGGTGGATCTTTAAAATCCATGTAAACATGTAATAGTGTTTTTTTCTTTCAATTTGTTTTTCTTTTGAAGTCCAATTTGTCCTACCAAAGTAGATTTTACAATTATTCAGGTTTTGATACTCCATAACTCCATACAAATTCGATTGAAGCAATTTCGACCTTACTGCTGTACCTCACAGTGGACTAGGGTCAATTTGAATTCGAACCGGACCGACTCCTTGTACCTCACAGTGGACTAGGGTCAATTTGAATTCGAACCGGACCGACTCCTTGTACCTCACAGTGGACTAGGGTCAATTTGAATTCGAACCGGACCGACTCCTTGTACCCGCCTTAATAACCCGCGGCATGAACAGACCCATCCTTATTCCTATGTTGGCCCGGTTTCTAAACTTTGATGGCGCGGCCAGACTTTTTACAGTTCCCGCCCTATCATATAGGCCTATTTGACCAACCCCACTAGCTTAGTTTAGTGTGACCTATACATTATTTATTTAGGAAAACTTAGAAGAATTGTATAAAAATGTGACTACTGGATCAAGAGGACTTCTCACTTTTTACAGTCTTGACTGCAGGTATCAATTATTTATCTTTCCATGCAGTATAGGACCTATGATCAAAACAAAATAGTCATGTTCAAAAATTCTTTAGTAATCCATAGTCATGATTCATGTTTAGAAATTCTAGTAATCTATAGTCATGTTCAAGGATTCTAGTAATCTAGTCATGTTCAGGAATTCTAGTAATCTAGTCATGTTCAAGGATTCTAGTAATCTAGTCATGTTTAGTGGTTCTAGTATCGACTGTCTGTCAGGATATGAATGCATCCTTCACACATCGGAGACACCCTTGTCAGCTTTAAAGGTGAGTAAATTCGTACTTCTTAACCCCTTCTCCATTTAGAGAGTGTTCGATTCACAACAGACTCTATTCAAGCTTTATCTGATCAAGAATATCTGATAAATCCATTTCTTCTCTGACAACAGATTAATTTCAATTGTGGTTTCTCTATTTGGGTCACTTGTGAGTTTCAGACACAATGAAGGAAATTGTCAGAGTTGAACACGCTTCAAGTCAGAAAATGATAAGACGAAATTAGACATTAATGATTGGATAAAAGTGATAGACTTCCATGGAGAATCGAACATGGCCCTCTTTTTTAAATGAAAGATCATTTAAAATTACAATTAAGATCTCTTTAAAGGGAGTGTTCGCGAAAAATGA